GGCGGAGCTGCAAGTTGCCACACTCTGAAATAAGAAAAAGGATCAAAGTTCTGGCTTTGAAGTGGCAAAGAATGCACAAAAGCTGAAAGCTGGTGTTTTGCATTTCCCTGGTCTCTTTCTAAGGGCATTATCATTAAAATTGCACTTGGAGATTTAAATGATCTGCTTTGCAGGTGAAACTGTTAGCTGTTTGATTTGAAACAATCCTTTGCTGGTGCATAACCTAAGCAGAAGGCTTCTGTGCTGTGTGCAGAACTACTGAGCAGCAGTCCAAGCTGTGCTCTGATGCTGCAGTGCTTGTACTAGGAGTCAGCAGAGGCTTTGCCAATGCTGAGGATAAACAAATACACAAGGGGCACAATGGGAGATAATTTGGCCTGTACCACACTGTACTGCTAGTAAGGAAAAGACTTTTCAGGCTTGCCAAGGTATTCCAGATTGAGAAAGACGTAAGACTTGCTGGTAAATACACAGATTCTGTTCTGATCAAAGGATGAAATTTCTGCTCTTTCATTCGTGGTTCTCAGACCAGGTTACCTGAATATTATGCAGTTTCACTCATCCTGTTTTTTCTTTCATTTGGACTGATGAAAAAAATTTCTCCCTCCTAAAAATGCTTTTTTTTTCTTCTTCCGTCTTTGCAGAATAACCAAGCAGACTTAGAGAATGCTACAGAGGTGCTTTCTGGGTACCTTGAGCGAGATATCTCCCAAGATTCGCTGCAAGACATAAAGCAGAAAGTACAGGATAAGTACAGGTTTGTTCCTGAACAGCTATCTCAAAGCTGCCCTACCTACTGTATTGTCATCCATTGTGGTATGCTGTGGTGTGGCGCCTCGCCAAGTTGGCCTTTTCTCCAGTCATGTCCCTGGGAAGCTGCGTGGTGTCAGCCTCCTGCTGTGCTTTGGGATCCTCTGCCTGCCCCTGAGCCACAGCAGAGCAGTGCCCTGTGCCAGCCTCTGACATCTGGTGACCAAAAGCAGTGGCTCTCCATGCACTGCACAGAAGGAGCACTGAGGAGTGGCCAGGGCTGAGACGGACCTGCGCAGGCAGGTCTGGGGAGAACAAGGAGTGACTTTGTTGTTCCCAACCCACAATTTTGGCCTAGGTCAAGTTGCTGTAATAAAGCAGTCAGCTCTTTCCATTGTCTGTTGAGTCTGCTTGCACAGCACGTCCCTTGAGCAAAAAGCGAGTGCAGAAAAGCTGTACTGAGGAACAGGGAGAGAACTCAGGAAGAGAGCAGGAGAGCGAGGACCCAGGTGATACAAGTGCCAGTGCTCTTTGTAGTCCTGGGGGAATTGCTTTTGCGCAGTGGAAAAATACAAAGATGTAAAATGCGAATGAGTCACAGGATTATGACTTTTTTTTTTTTTTGAGGCGTTTTGCCAAAGTCACCAAATTTCTTGCATCTAACTTGGGGAAGAACTGTGCCCAAGTAGCGTAAGCTGTAGTGATGAAGGGGGCGTGAGGACTGGAAGCAGCCATTAGCCTGCAGTGGGCCAGTAGGCCGTTCTGCTGTGCGGGCTGGCAGCACAGCTGGCGCTGGACAAGGCTCACAGGAGACATTTGATAAATGGCCATTAAGCCGGGTTGGCTGTTTGCTTTAGGTCCTGTGAAACTGAATGCTCTTCTAGGAATGATTACATCTATCCAGAAGAAATTAGAGCATAATACAGCTTGAATTGCCTGAAAACAGCATCCCAAGCCTGCCTTCGTATTTCTGGAAAGCCCGTGCATATCTGTCAAGCCTGTGCAGGTCCCAGTTAACTCGTTTGGTCACATCTTAATCATGTCCTGCACAGTGCTCTTTGTGTACTGCTTATGGAGTAACGATGCAAGATTGGAACCAAGGATGTTACTGAGGTGGGCAGGTGGGGTTTGAAGAACTGGGAAGCTCATCTCCTGCTTCACAAAAGCTCTTCTGGAAAGCAGGATTAAACCCCCATCACTACAAAGGAACTGAAGTTGGGAAAGCAGGAACTGTTGCACGTTGGCTATCACATGCTTTGTTAAATCAATGGGACTCTGTGTGTGATGGCTTGTGTTGCAGCAGCTGACAGCAAGGGGAAGAGACAGAGCAGTTCTGTGCACATAAATCTGCCCCATCTGATCAGGTACAAAGCAGTGTTAGAGCTTAGAAACTAACAGTATTAGAGCTGCTCATTTATAGTTTGCTCCTGGAGCCTGAATACTTTCAATGTTTTTTCTGCTTTTATCTTTTTAGTTGGCTATCGCACTCGAAATGAATATGGCATCTTTTGATATGTTCCTATGAAATCCCTTTTCCTCACTATCATTCTTTCTGGTAGGACCGTACCTAAATCTGGAATCAGTTTATTTGCAGCTGTATCAGTTGAAACGAGTGTAGGTGTAAAGAGTTTGCAAGGCACTGGAGTTAGGGGTTGAAGCTTCTCTTGCAGCCAGGCCAGTCCCCTTCCTGTAGTCTGCTCTCAGTGCTTGGCCACATCCATTGGGAGCCAAGCAGGGTCAGCATTCCCAAGATTTTGCCCGGCCTGCTCTGGGTTTGTCGTGCGCCAGCTCTCCTCTGAGCGCGCTCTCTCTCATTTCAGGTGTCAGTGCTAAACTGTGCTTTGGCTTTTCCAACTAGCAGCTGCCACTTCTTCATTTTTCAGTTATGAAAGCTCTATTATTCAGTTATTTCTCATCTCTAGGGACTTCGGGGATGCTTTTGCATGGGGAAACTCTCTAAATTTGCATGATGTTTTTTCAACCAGGGACCTGGAGCGAGTGACTGGAGTAACTGAAGTCTTAATTAGCGCTGTTAACTGGCTACAACTATAAAGCCCTTCTCAGGGGATACCCCCTTTTGGAAGCAAGGCTTAATTTAGGTTTGCATTACTCAACGCTGGGAAAGAACTGTGCCTCCTAACCTGCTTTCTCTGTGCTGTCCCCCCTCTGCTGCAGATACTGCGAGAGTCGACGAAGGGTTTTGTTGCAGCACGTGCATGAAGGCTACGAGAAGGACCTGTGGGAGTACATTGAGGACTGAGACTGGCCCCGCATTAAACGAACTCTGAAACTTTTACCATCTAGAGCGCTCATGCGATTAAAAAACACACACAAGGCACTGCGCCTGTTACACCGCTGGTCTGTAGAACCGGGATTCTGTTTTGTTAACGGAAAATTTAAGTAAATTATATTGTAATAAAAAAAAAAAAAAGGTAGATAAACCATTGTACAACAGTATTCTAGGCGGCCAATAAGAGTGTGACAGACTCACTAAAAAAAAAAAAAAACCAACAAAAAAAAAAAACAACCCTCCAACTTTAACTTGTAACGTAGCTTCATTTTCCAAGCCGACTCCTTTTTCTTTTCTATCTTTCTTTTCCTGTGTGTAGTACAGATGAAATTTAAACAGTTTCTTGACACTGCTTTTCATGTCCAAACCAGCCATTTTGATGTACTTTGGTAAGGGGGGATGCCTCCTGCCCCCCTCCTCCTCTCTGCCCCCCCCAGTACATGGATGAATGTTGATTGGCTCCTTGTAAAGGTGACTTTTTGGGGAGGGGAGGAGGGGGGTACACAGCAAGGAAAAAAACTTTGTATATGACTTTTAAAACAGAAAAAAAAAAAAAAAGAGGACAACACAGTATTTTTCAAAGTTGTATATAGCGCATATGCATGGACAAAGAGCAAGCGTGGCACGTGTTTGCATAATGTTTAATTACAAAAAAAATATTTATTCTTTAAAAATCTTCAAGATTATGTCTATTTGCTGTGCATTTTCTTTCAGTTTGATTTTTCTTTTATTTTTTTTTTTTTCCTCTTGTTCTGTTTTCCCTGGGATGGGGTGGGGGAAGCGTGTGCTGGCGGAGTGACTTATTTTTGAAGGCGTTCACCAGAGAAGCTGGAGTTCTCCTCTTCATGCAGTTCCTTTACGTCCGTCGTTCTGTGCCTGTTGCTGACCCGTCCCCCTCAGCTCCTGGCACTCGGTATCCAGGTGTGCATTGCATTCATGAAGAGTGTATGTTGTGATTCAGGATGCTTTGCCTTTTTTTTTTCCCTTCCCCACACTGGTACTGCTTGACCTGCCCCAGCCCAGCTCTGCTGTTCCCATCCACGCACACAGGATGCTCTCGGCCTGGAGGAGCTGTGTGTGTGTGTGTGTGCTCAGAGTTGTTTTCTTATTTCTCCGAACTCCGAGGCAGGAAAAGGAGGGGTATTTTGCACCACTTCTCCAAAGACTATGGCAAGATTTTGGCTGTGGATCTCCTCTCCCATCCCCTCTCATCTGTCCAACGGAGCGTTCCTTGCTGTTCAGTTTCACTTACATTATAAGAGTCGTAAACATTGAAAAGGAGAGATGATGGAATTGTCTTTGTGTTTGTTTTGGGCTCAGTTACCGGGCGCGGTGTCCCGGCCACTATTTAACACTCCATCTAGCGCAGCAGAAATTGAAATCGAGGGGGTATTTTTCAATTCAAAGGGGAAAGAACTAATGAGCTAGCTGCTGAGTCCATTTTTATGATTTCTGTAACAAGAGCTATGTTAAAGTAAACGATTGGTGGTGGTTTTATTAAATCTACTCCTGTATAGGAACTCCTCCTGTGGTATTTTTCGCCAGGCCTCGAGCTCTGTGCGGCCTCCGGGGGGAGGAGGGGCCGAGGGCGGCTCCGCAGGGCAGGGCCGGCTCCGGGGAACGCCCGCAGCGCCGCCATGTTGCGCCGCGACCCGCGCCGCCCTTCTGCCGTCGGAGCGGCGCCGGGCGAAGGGGGGCGGGCGGGGCTGCGGGGCTCCCCGCGCCGGTTGGACGCTCCCCGGCAGAGTGGCGGAGCGCGTGAGGGCGGGGCTCGATGGAGGAAACCGCCGTCGTGCTGAGTGCGGGCGGGCCTTAGCGCGGTCCTGATCGCAGCCCTGAACCGACGGCCGCCCGGTCTCCCCACGCTGCTCGGCGGCTGCCCGCCCCGCCCCGCCCCTCCCGGCGCCGCCCACCGCTCCCCTCACGGCCGCGCCTTCCCGCCCCGTCACCGCGGCAACCGCGCTCCTCCTGCCGCCATGGCGGAGCCGCAGGCCGGGCCGGTGAGCTGAGGGGAGGGAAGGAGGGTGGGCTGCGTTGGGGGCGCATTCGTTTTGCCTCTGTTCGTTTTATTTCTCTTCGCTTTGCCTCTGCGTTCGCTTTATTGCCCCCTGCCCGCCTCTTCCCCCCCCCAAAAAAAATCTTCGCCGAGTAGCCGAACTTGTCGTTGAGAGCGGCGGGAATCGCTGGGGGCCGTGCCGCCCTGCTAACGCCGCGCTTCTCTCTCCCTAGGTTTCTTCGTCGGCAGCGGTGGCGGGACCGCCAAAGCCCCATCCTAAAAGAGGTTGGTTTTCAGATTTGGTTGTTATTCTCGGGCTGGTTGGTCGTAAGATTTCTTTTAGAAGAAGTCTAGCAAGGATCCAGTGCTCTGTGGGAAAAATGAGGCAAGCGCCGCGTAGAATCGTGGGATGGCTCGGGTTGGGACGGACCGCAAGGATCGCGGAGCTGCACTCGGGCTGCCCGGGGCCGCCCATGTCCTGGTCCTGGTCAGCTGTGGGCAGCAGTGCCAGCGCCTCGCCGCCTCTGTGCCCGCAGTGTTCTCCTCACACCTCACCTCAGGGTCCTCTGTTAGTTTAAAGCCGTTCCCGCTCGTCCCATCTGTTGCTGTCTGCCATGCGCACAAAGCCACTCTCCCTCCTGTTTTGAGCTCCCCTCAAGTCCTGGAAGGCCGCACTGAGGTCTCCCCGCAGCCTTCTCTTGCCCAGGCTGAACACCCCCAGCTCCTCAGCCGTCTCCATAGCAGAGGTGCTGCAGCCCTGGCAGCATCTCCGTGCCTCCTCTGCCCCGCTCCAGCAGCTCCGCACCGCAGCTGAGGCCTCACGAGGGCAGAGCAGAGGGGACGGTCCCCTCCCTGCCGCTGCCACCCCTCTGTTGGTGCGGCCCAGGATGCCGGTGGCTTTCCGGCCCCCAATGGACGCTGCTGCCTTGTCTGTGGCTTTCATCCACCAGAGGTACTTTTTTATAGGGTCTGTGCAATCACTAGCTTGGTGCTGTTGCTGGCATACTTACTGTATGTACAGAATGCTTCTTGTAACCGGAGAGACTTTGTTTTATTGCATACGTATTTCTTGGGTTGTTAATGGATTTGATCGTCATTTATCTTTTTAAATAAAGAGTGGCTTTGTACTTTCAGGTTCTGTTGATACTTGCATCTATCCACACAATGTCTTACTGTAAAAATGATCTTGAGAAACTAACATCACGTGCTGTTGATATTCCACATTTACATTTCCAAAGTTATGAAGTAAAAGGGAAGTATGAGTGAGATCAAACCAGTCAGGTTGGGACGTAGCTATCATTTGCTATGTTATTTTCTTATTTAAGATGTTGTTCTGAAATTCGGGTTGAATCTGACCTGGAACAGTAACAATTTCAGTTACCGTTTCAAAAAGTCTGACTAAGTCCTGGTATTTTGCAAGGGGTCTCCTAGAGCCCACTCAGCTGTGCTCACTCTCCTCACGCAGATCTGCTCAATATAGAGACCTGTGTACCTGTGCCTGGGGGAGATTTGGCTTTTGCAGGTTTCCCTTCATCCTTCCTTTTGGGGTGGCCATGCTAACTGTGTGCAGCCCTCGTTTCACCTAACTTTGTCAGCTTGCCTCTGGTGCATTGCCTGGAGTTGAGAAGGGACTGCTTTTGCTTCAGGCCTGAACTCAAGTGAAAACAGACTTTGGTTTTATCTCCACTACCAACTCCTTTGGGGTAAGGGCGGCTGTTATGTTTTCCCTGGAGGCACTGATTGACTCCACAGCGAGATGGTTTGTCTCCATCCTTCTCCATACAGATGATGACTCTGGGCCCCTCATCCCCAGTAACCCCACATCATTACCTGTGATGTTTGCAGGCTGGGAGGCTATGCCTTCTGCCTGTTTTTTTTTCAGCACACTGTGTGCCTTCAGATCTCTAAGGCAGCTACAAGACTGATGGTGTTTGCCAGGTGATGGGCTATCACCGCCATGCTATTTCCTGGCTCTATTAAGTCAACTCTGCATAATTCATGAGTGAATGGAATAGCTGAGAAAGAAAGATGGGGCCATCAACCGCGCAGACAAGCAGTAGGGGTGTGCTGCGTGGAAGCTGCCTTCCCTCTGTCTGCGTGCTTGTTAAACCATCAAGGCTTCCTGCCTTTAAGTGTGCAGGTTTAGTATTGATCATCTGGGAGGGCGAGATGAGACAGTTGTGACTTTCTTAACAGGAGCATTTTGCAGATCTTGCTGTTTGATGAAGCATTACTTGCTCGTCGCTGTTGTTGAGGAGCTTTCTGTCATAATTTGGCATTTTGCATTGCAAGCCTGAAACCGAGCTGGATGCTTTTTTAATGCCACCAGCACTTGCTGGGGTTTTAAGGCTGCGTGGAAGAATTGCTCTGTCCCCTTCACCACCCGATGTTCCTCCACCATCCTTGATTTGGCATCAGTGTTCATACAGCTGTGTGCCAGAGGGGAACAGCTAGTAAATGGAATACAGTTCTTAGTGTCCCTGGGTCTCCCTGGAGTGCCAGTGTGATTCTTTGGTCAGAAGTAACAATGACAAAGACAAAAAAAGAAATCTAGCTTGGAACTTGTGTAATTCTGTCAGCATGCCAAGGTGAACACGGGCATCTCCAGTACGTGGGGCAGCCGTGGCATTTCTGAAATGAAAGGGTTTGGGGACCTTTGCCATTAAGTATTTGACTGCACTGCCTTCTGTGCAGTGGGCAAAAGCTGGTCTGAGCTGCTGGTTAATCCCTGGGAAATGAGGGCAGCAGCAAGATCTGCCATAGGGAGTGATGTAACAGTGTCCTGTGCCTGTAAGTGTGCTGCTGGGGCTGTGTCAGAAAGGAGGAGAAACAGTGAATAAAAGCAATGCCGTGTGTTCTGTGGGGAGTTTGGCTTCTCTAACCTGTGGCTGGTTTTTTTTTCTTTTTTTTCTTTTTTTTTTTTTTAAGAAGAATATTTCTAGGGTTTCTTGTTGAAGTCTCTCTTCCTACATCACGCCTTGAAGGAGCCAGGCAGATCTGTGTCTGTTGTTTTTGTGCAGAAGAGTGCTGCTAAATTTACTCTAAACTGACATTTCGGAGCACTGAATGGTAATTTTCTTTGCAGCAATTTGCCTTTTTAACTTGCACTGCATTTTCAGGTGGGATGCAAGAGAGATTCTGAAGCCAGCATGAGCACAAGCGAGTTGGTGAGATACAAAGTCGCTGTGATGTGGCAGCGTGTGGCCCTCTGCAAAAGGTTTGGTGCAGATTGAGTTTGTGCCTGAGCAGAGCACGTGTTACAAAACCACTGACAGCACTGTACGCAAACGGGGCACAGTGTGGCTGCTGGAGTCCTAACCGGAATTGTCACCGTGGGGAATCCAGGCCGGTGCAGCTGCCTGTGTTTGCACTAGGTAGCAGAGAGGGCTGAAATAGCTGCTTCTGAAAACGGCTCGGATTTGCAAGAAGTAATTTGAGTGACGAACTGCAGACATGTGTTTGGTCTCTCGGTGCAAGGATTGAAGGCAAACCCCTGCGAGTGCCTTGCCGTGGCACTTGGGGACGGTCGTTACTCAGCGAGTGACACACTGATAGCTGAGACCATTCATTGTTTTGTCCTTTACCCCCCGCGGAGAGAGCCGCTCAGAAAGGCAATTCCTTTTGTTGCTACATCAAGATCGTAGCTCTCCCTCTGTTGATATTTTGTCCCCAAGCAGTGGGTCAGGGAATAAAGGGAGCTGTGTTCCCTGAAGCAGTGCGGAGTTAGCATCAGCCTGCCGAGGTGGGGTTTGAATCTCCTGGCTGCATTTTAAATTCATCGGGTATTTTCCAAAAGGCTTTACTGGTTTGGATTGAACTGGTCTGGATGTGTCTCCCATCCTTCCTCTTTCCTTTTGCCACGCAGGCAGCCAAGTCTGCTTGCACTGATAGCGCTGTGGTGGAGAAAGCTCTTTTGTATGGCTGATCTGTTGGGGGATGTCGCTTGAATTTATCTCATTGTGTCATGGAAAATTCTATTTAGAAAGGCAGTTCTGGGCTCTTGTGTTAGCTTAGTAATGGTTCAGGGTTGAGTGGGGCAATTTTTAATGCGTTTGGATTTCTACACAGATCTTAGGTTTTGTGAGATACGGTGGTGGCTTTTTCATAGTGAGATAAAAGGAATAAGTAGAAAGGTCGAATATAATAAACACACAGCAGCAAAATAGAGTGTGCTTGGGGTCACTGGAATAACAGGGGCCCTTCAGGCTGTGAAGAAGGAGGATCCCAAATGGCTGCCACCCACCTCTGTGCTCACCCAGGGCACGGGCAGGTCGGTAATTTCCACAGAATCACAGAATTGTAGGGGTTGGAAGGGACCTCCAGAGATCATCGAGTCCAACCCCCCTGCCAAAGCAGGTTCCCTACAGCAGGTCGCACAGGTCGGCATCCAGGCAGGTCTTGAACATCTCCGGAGAGGGAGACTCCACCACCTCCCTGGGCAGCCTGTTCCAGTGCTCCGTCCCAATTTCCACAGAGAAGCTGTTCCCTTTGTGAGCTGCAAAGGCATTGGCAGGGATTGGGTGTTCTTCCCTGACCTGCGCAGCGGGATGGTTTTTGGATGTGTGGCAGGTATGATTTTTCTGGTTTACAGGAAGGAATTCTGATTAGCTGTGACCTTTGGCCAAGCGCTTCGGCTTCGTTTTTTCTCATTTGTCAGCCAGTGCATCGCTTTAATCCTAAGTGAAGCTTACGTGAGTGCTGCAGGTTTCCAGTTTGCGATGCGTTTGGAGGCGCGAAGTGCAAACTGCTGTTTGAATGCATCCGTGGCGCTGCGCTGCTGGGGATGGCGGGGCGGAGCAGAGGGGAGGAGCGCCGTGTGCCCCGCTCAGCTCTGCCTGCGGGCCGTTTCTGCGGCTCATCGCTTCGCATCACAGCGCTTCTGCACAGCCCGCAGCTCTACGGCTGCTGCAGGGCTCGGGAAGCTTCGTCTCCTTTGCTGTCCTAGGTGGGTTCCTCTTCTGTCTTGTGTAATTACAGTGTCACCAGCCGGGATGTGTAGTGGGCCTCCAAAAGGGAGGAGGTGAGTCATAGAATGGCTTGGGTTGGAAGGGACCTCAGAGCTCACCCGGTTCTGACCGCGTGCAGCTCTGATGTTACTGCAGAGGAAGGTGCTGACCCACAGTTAAAGCGGTGGTGAGGTGGGCTTCTCACTGGTAACACACGGGTGCTCAGGGTCCCTCTGTAAGTGACAGCCAGGTTTGATTTAGACCTGGCTGTTGGGAGTAAATCAGCAGAGGTGGGAAGCGTGTGTTTTGAAGCTGTGGTTTCAGCCCGTTCCTTTGTGC